CCCCAAAACCCCAAAACCCCAAAACCCCAAAACCCCAAAACCCCGAATTTTATAGAATTTTGAAACATTAATAATAAATTTATTTACAAATGGTAGGCATTGTGATTCCAAGATTTTACCAATCACTAGAAAAGGAATATGTTGGGTTGGCCTTTGCTTTCAGATTAGGGTTTGATGTAGTTATTTTGTCAAATCAGTCTAGCAGCCACATTTTTGGGGTTTTATTTGTGTTTGTGATATTGGACAATTCACTTACATTTGAATAGAAAAACAACGAGAAAACTATTGAAGAAGATAAAGTTGCCGAAGCCAAGGCAAAACTCCAAGAAAAAGAAGATCGAGTGAAGACAGAAGATGTCACTAAAACTAAGGGTCTTACTTTTGAAAGCTTTGATCTTCCAAATGATCTCCAATTGGTATTTTCCATTCTGACTCTATAGGCAATTTATGAGATGGGATATGACAAGCCCTCTCCTATCCAAGAGGAGGCTATCCCTCTAATTCTTGAAGGGAAATAATGTTATTGGAAAGGCTAAGACAGGAACTGGTAAAACTGGAGCATACGCAATTCCAACGATTTCAATGATAGATAAAGATGATCCTAATGTTCAGGTTTTAATTATTGTTCCGACAAGAGAATTGGCAATACAAACTGCTTCTACAATGAAGAAGTTCTCTAAATACTTAGATCTTGGTAAGCAATCGATTTGAACATGTTCTAGAAATTATGGGTGCTCTAGGAGGTACATCCATACGAAAAGATATTCTCAGGCTTGAGAATCAAATCCACATTATAGTGGCTACACCAGGAAGAATCCTGGATTTGGCGGAAAAAGAGGTTGTCGATCTTTCCACTGTGCAAACAGTGATTTTAGATGAAGTTGATAAACTCCTTTCCACCCACTTCATGCCGGTTACAAGAAAGATTTTTAATTTCCTTAGCAAGGATATACAAGTTCTTCTATTCAGTGCTACCTTTCCAAAAGAGAGCACTCAGGTGTTTCAAAAAGAATATGTTCCTGATCCTCAGTACATTAACATGATTGCTCAAGACGAGGTAACACTGAAAGGAGTGACTCAATATTATGCATATATTGAAGAAAAAGAAAAGTTGCATTGCTTGAACACTCTATTTTCAAAGTTGCAGATTAATCAATGCATTATCTTTTGCCACTCTTATAAGAGAGTTGAACTTCTGGCTAAGAAAATCTCTCAGCTGGGCTACTCATGTTTTTATATTCATTCAAGGATGGCTCAAGATGACAGAAACAAGTAAGACAATTTATTCCATGTTTTAGAGTATTCCATGACTTCAAAAACGGAGATAGCAGATGCTTAGTTTCCTCAGACTTGTTTACAAGAGGAATTGATATTCCTTCAGTAAACGTTGTCATCAACTTTGACTTCCCACAATACTCAACTACATACTTACACAGGATTGGTAGATCTGGTAGATTCGGTCACCTTGGACTTGCTATCAACTTTATCACTGACAAGGATAAGGTGAACATGTTCCAGATTGAGAAGGATCTGAACACAGAGATCCAAGCAATCCCACAAGACATCGACCTAAATCTCTATACTATTTAGTCGCTACTTACTCTACACAACATGCTTAGTTAAAAGGGGTTTTGGGGTTTTGGGGTTTTGGGGGTTTGGGG